CCCCCCCCCCTTCCCCTTCCCCCACCACCACAAGGGAAGGTATATAAGGACTGCCCCCACACATCGGAGCTCAGAATCGGAGCTCATAGCCCTGAAGATGCAGACTGCAATGTTTGCGAAACGTCGCCGCAATGCTGAAACTCAACGCGGCATCCATCCGGAAGCCAACCAAGTCAATTATTGGGATAGATCGACGCGTGAAAAATTCCACCATTTTATGATTTCGTTTTCGCTATTAAAACATTGGCGATCATAACGCACATGGGAGAGCCACCAAGTGGGCTTTAAAGTAACTACTCTTGGGGGCCAACCAATGAAACCACTGGGAGTGAACCAATGATAGGCATCAATCAATAGGATCATTGGGTTCTCTGGGATCTCATTGGTTGGCCCCTAAGAGTAGTTAGTTTAGGGGCCACTTGATGGCTCCCACATCTATGTTGCGATCGCGAATAGAGTTTTGTTTCACGTGAAAACTAGTGGATTAGTTAGATGTAACTAATTTCATAAACCTTACAACGTGAAGTTTTAACGGTCCAAATTTTTAAAGATCATTTCTCACTTGTAATACCATAAGAGCTTCAAAATTATCGGATATTTTCCGATAGGTTCGTTGCAAACAAATGAAGGAGTCAAGTTTGTCAGGTTAAAAAATCACGAGTGTGATCACGAGTGAGTTGACTCGTGCTTCGCACTCGTGATTTTTCCGGAAAAACTTGACGACTTCGTTTGTATGCAGGGAACCTTGAGGAAAATGCCCGATTAATTTTGAAGCTCGTGTGGTATTCGGGGGATTATTTTTCCAATCCAAATGTCGGTCAATATAATTGGACCATGAGACGAAACTCACAATTGTATAATTAACACTCATTTGCAATAAAAATTCTCGGATTACCACAATTGAATTCAATCTGTCAGTTTGACGAGGGGTTTATTCGACTGCATGATGTTTTGTTTTTTATATAGCAACTAACAGAGAAAATTATCAGTTGGAAACACTGTAGCTTGTACCACGTGATGTCGAATGGGCCAATTATATTGCCCGATGGAATATATTGGGTGGAAAAATAATCAAAATTATTTTTTAATTTAAAAAAATTCTCAATTTTTTTTCAAACCTGAACGTAATAAAAGCGGACCTTGACTCCTTTTTAATGAATAAATGAATACATAATAATAAATAATATGCTTAAATCAGTAGCCAACCGTGCGCGCAAATTATCAGAAATTCTCACAAGGGTAATGACGTCACAATTCCGCATGCTTCAGTGTCAAGAATAAAGGGGGGTTAATCATCCCTGTTGATTAATGATTCCTCTGTCCATTTATTTATAGCATTTTGAAATGATGTTCCTGATTTAATTTCTCAAAACGAAAATTCGACGAGAGATGTCGTTAACCTATCAGAGGTGTGACGTCATTCAAGCTCATCTGAGTGTTTTGAAATTGTCATTTTTCAATCCCTTTCTTTAATAACAAAAAATCTACTCGAATATTCGAACATTGAATGTCAACATGATTTAATGTGAAATATCGAATACAGAAATTTAAAAAAATTACGGAAATACCCGTATGATGGAGCCAAATTATTGCACAATATTTACATAAAAATAAATTGACAAGTGTATATGTACTAGGATTGCGAGTGGTCGTAATAGTACTATTCAGTGAAAAAATGAAATTGAAAAATCACTCACCCCAAGGGCCTCCGCGATTTTTCCCCCATCGACTTCTTTTTTGAGGTCGAAAAAGTTGAATCTTCTCCACTGCAATATCATTCGTCAAATTAATTTTTATGGGGAATATAGGGAATCATTTCTAGGTTATAGATTGATGAACTAATATTGCATTCAAAAGAATCACTTGAATTATTATTGTTTACCTCGAGAAACGCCATTTCGATGATTCTATGGTCTATCCCTTCATGGGAACGATCGGACTTTCAATTGATTATCAGAATTTGTTTATTCGATTATTGGGACTGACAAGTGAAATACACAGGGGTGTTTCACCGTCTCAGTTTGACAGTTATCTAGGAGATGATCAGATGATTCGAGGTCGTTGCAGAAAATTCCTGGTAAGTTACCGACAGTTGATGAGGTATCCATTGAGTAGATAAAACAGCGACAGCGAAATGCTGTTTATTCCACGCCTGGAGATGGCGACAGATTACCGAATTAGTCCTGGGAACCCCAAATGAATGAACAATAATCGTTCACTATTATTATTTGTTATCCCACATGCCTTGTATGATAAAGATTTTTTTTTATACGAAAATTCATCGAGATTTTTTCTCGTTTCAAATTGACAATTGGTTCAGGATAGGGAGTAATTTACAGTTGACTCTCTGTATAAGATACCTCTCACCTTTATTGCCTATCGAAGTATTTGGCCCTGTGCACTTTTCATAAGATACCCGTGGCCCCAATCATTTTTCGACGAAATAAAACTTATACCTCCGACTTATATAAAATATTTGGTCTCTATTTTTAACTTTCCGATACAACGGGAGGAGGCGAAAACGATTTAAAAATGCATCGCTTGTTCTCAAAAACTATTAGCTCGATCGAGTTGAACTTTGCACAGATAACGATGGGATATGAATTTATTTTCTGTAATCGATGCGTCTCGACATGACTCGATTCTAATTGAATGTTGAGCGGAATCATCTCAGCCATTCTTTAGTTATTTGGATGAAACTTTCAAAATTTGCTTTTTCTTCTAATCAACAGAAAAAAGGGAATCCTATAATGACACAATCCAATTCCACTAACCCCTAGCGGTCACACCCCAAACACGGGAACGAGCGAAGCGAGCGACCGGCACTGATTTTTGTCAAAGGACTGGCAGGAGGGGATTCCCGGAATTCCGCTCCCTTACTGTCACTGAAGTACCTTATATGAAGAGTCAACTGTGTGAGAATGAAAATTAATAAAAAACACTGTTTTCAATTTCTCTCCATTTCCCGTTTTTTTAATCATTTTCACTTTTTTTTTATTGATACATCTAGAATAAATCTATAACCATAGACGCGTATTGGCTACGGGCGTACGATCTTAATAACTATGAAGTTATCGTCAAGAATTTTTATTTATTCATTTTGTGCTATTTGTTGAGAACTTTCGAAAATTTGAATTACAATAATCATATAATTTCATCATTTTTATACAGAAAAATTTGATGGTAAAAAAATTACATCTAAAATAATTTTTTCGTTTATTCGGAGTTTCGAAAAAGTGGCGATGGAAAACACAATCGACGCCCGTTTTGTTATTTCCCTTTATTTTTATTAATTTTTATCTATTCTATTTTCTATGTATTTCTTTGTGTACCGTAAAACCTTAAGAATATTTTTTTTTTTTTTTTAATTTCGCAATTTTCCTCTCGGGGTTAATTTTTAAAATCGAAAAATTCATCTCGTTGTTGGTTGAGGGTTCGCAGGGGACATTTTTTCAAACTTGAGAAATAATTTATTCTTTTCGTTAACATGAGGGCACGAAGAGGCGCGAGAGTGCACTCAAATTTTCAATAAAAACAAAATTCAATTACGATCTAAATTGTTTATTTCGCGCTTGAAAGTTTTTCGATTCTTCATCGATTAATAATTTTTCGTTTTAGGAAACATTTAGCGTATATTTTTTTTCTGAAATTTTACAAACAGGAAACGATTAAACACATTGGCTTATGAGTTGTCGATCAATTGGCCGTGAAAAATCTCAAGTCAATACTGAATTTTCAGGTTAAAAAAATTGACTATTCGATAAAATTGAATTGTTTATATTTTTCATCGACGGATTTCAACTTGAGAATTTTCAACTCTAACGATCGCAATTGTTCTTAATCACCCATTGTAAAATACATGTCGATTAACTACTACTTGATTCAGTTAAAATTTTCCTCTTCAATTGTAATGAGTTTTTTCCTCATCCTCTATTTAATTTAAATCCTCAAATAATTTTTTACAGTTAAATATCACAGTTCTGTTCGTACCACTCATTTAGTTTGGTGAATTGTTTTATTTTTCTTTTCTTTGTTACACGCATTCTCACCTGGACATGTCTCTCAATCCATCATTCATATAAAATTATCAAAAAAAAAAAAAAAAAAAAAGAAAATGGAGATTCTGGAGGGAAAAATTATTTCGAAAGGGAAAGTTTCATATTCCAATTTGTAAACAAAACATTTCATGTAAAAAAGAAATTATTTATTCATTTCATCTCTCAATTAACTGTTTTCTCTCTCGTGGTCTTTTGGACGGCATCTGTAGAGATTTTTTTCTGGAAGCCATATTGAATCGTTCAGGATTTGAAGGATAAAAATGAAATATTGAAACTATTACTGTTTTTTAATTTTTAATCAACGAATTTATTGATTGCGATTGATTTGGTCCATCAACAAATATTAGTAGAATTATTTTTAAAAAATGATGATCAATATTTTTAGGTTAATGTTGCCAACGAGCGTCTATGGAATTATCTTCATCTGAGATTTGAAATGGAATAGACATGCGGGAATAGAGGGAAATTATCGAGGAACAAAAACTAATTGGCAGATCTTATCAATTTATTGCTTAAAAAGAAGAATCTCATTCATTTTTTTCATATTTCCAGCAATAAAAAGACTGGATCTTCTTGACGACCGAAAATGCGATTAAAAAAAATCAACAAATAATTAGGATTTTTTAAACGGGATAGTTTATTAAACGAAAATCATATTATAATAATAATTAATGAAAACTAAGAATAGACAGAAAAAAAATCACAATTAAAGCGCGAGGTCCGGTTTCCCGTAACATAATTTTTCCTCATAACTTTTGTTTATTTGTTCCCCATAAAAGAAAGTAAATTGAACATTTTTCATTATTTGTTCTAAACTCATTTTTTTAAAAATTAACTAGCACTCGATCGTTCACTCTGTCCCTTGTACACGTAAAAATTAACTGTCTCATCCATTACAATGTGTCTTTATTTTGTCAAGTTTTGTATATCACTTTCGTTCAATTTAAAATAGAAACAAAATGTGAATGAATATTTGTCAATGATTTTCATTTTTTAAATGATTAAATTATCGAGGAAACCAAAAGAGCGATTTTTTCTTGTTTTCAATTACAATTAATTCGTTATAATTGGTAGAATATCATTACTTTCTTAATAACAAACTAAGTTAAACAACTTGAGCACAGATGGGGCGACGCACTCGAGATTAAAATATACATTTTTTCATCAGCCATATTGAAAATGGAGCATCACCTCGAGATTTAAAACATTCAATGACAAATAATTGACCGATTTTCCGATGATTTTTCATGTTCTAATCGTGTAATAAATGTGAATAAATGATAATGATTATTTTTCGATGGTTTTAAAGGACATATTTGAGCACAAATCGATGTATTTCTTTATTTCCAATATGGCTGATCTCGAGTTCGCGCTGTAACAAGAAATTATCTACAGTTTTCGTTTCTTTCTTTCATTTCGATTGATAATGCATTCAATTTTTTTTTTCATCTCTAAAAAATTCTCTCGCTCGTGTGAATGACTCTATCGAATGAACAGTATTTTCCATTAAAAAAAAGTAATGTAATGTTTTAAAAAAATTGAATGAAAACTTAATGTTGAAGTTCAGGGAATTTTTTAATCTTTAAAATCACAAAATTCTCATCTCACCTTTGTTCCAATATCATTTTCGTAGAATAGTAAAAATATCAGTTGAATTGAAAAACAAATTAAAAGGAAAAAAAGAAAACAAATTGAGAAAAAAATGCTGGACAGCGTCAGTTATCTCCCTCTTCTCACTTTTCCTCGGACAAGGTACATAGAATAATTTTTTTTTCTCCGTTATTATTATTATTTTCCATTTCATTAAGTCTATTTCATAATTTCTTCTTTTAAATCCACCTTACACACCTACCAAATATTAATTAATAATTAATAATATTAATAATTAATAATATATATTTTATTTATATATATTTATATAATAGCTATGTACAAAGAAGTTTCTCTACCACTTACTTTTTTCTTTCTCTTATGCAGTCAACACATCTTTCACATTCATGTGTTTTTCTTATTTTTTGTATCCATTTCCAATTTGTCCCTTTTTTCGTGGCACCATCATAACCTATTCTATTCTCTTTCTCTCCAAATATTTACTCTGTCATTCTCTCTCTCTCTCGCATCCAACAAAACATTCTCGCGATTTGTGCCCTCGTGGAGTGTGTACGTGCTTCAATTTGTGTATTTTCTTTTATTATTAAATTTTTTCCCATCTTTTTATCTCTGTAATTGAGTAGAATAAACAAAAAAGTCAAATAAAATTTTCTGTAAATTCCCATTTGAATTAAAAGAACCGAAAAATGAAAAAATTGGTGACATTGAATATCAATTTACCGTCCTCATTATTCCACTTAATCACAGATTGTAAAAACCCTTAAACGTAACAGAATTTTTTTCTATAGACGAATGAAAAATAAAAAGCGCCCCGATTTTTCATTAATCCTGCAGAAATCGCGAATAAGTACATCAGTTATCTCGTCCTTTAATTATAATATTCAGAGAGAACATGCAGGCTCCGTAACTTCGTTAAATTTCTACTAAAAAATCGAGAGAAAAAAATTAACTAAAAAAAAACTTTTTTCCCCATGCACTTGACTTTTCCCTGAAAAGTTCACCGGGTGGGTAAGAAAAAGGCCTTCGAGGCATATCAAACATTTTTTCTTCACAAAAAAAAATATTTCATCATTTTTTTTCTCCTCAATTTCCAAAGAAGTTTCAGAGCCAGATTCTCCCTTTACATTTTCCATCTTCCGCCTTTCTAATGAGAAATTAAATAAACCACAACAGAAAAATAAAGAGTACAAAGGGATGAGAAAAATAATTGATCAACATTGTTTTATTCATTATTTTTCCCCTTTCATCTCTACATTCACTGTTTGTCTTTGAGTCCACCTAACAACGTATGACCCTCCATAGAAGCGCTCAAATTACCCAAATTACTGAGATTACTTAAATTACCAAGATTACCAAGATTACCAAGATTAGGTTGATGAGCATAATTTCTAATCTGATGTAAACTAATCAATTGATTAGGAAATGATGTTGTATTTTGATTAGTCGTTGTGCCCGAGGTAACCCCCGCGGCGCTAGATGTTGGCGATGATTTTTGGGAATTGAAAGCCTCATAAAGATACGGTCTCGACGCTGGATGATGACTACCAGGATAATGAAGATGATTCAATGGATTCAATGGATGTTGCATTGACGATATGGAATTTATCGAGATTGATGAAATTGGCGTAAAAGCTGAACTACTGTTAGGATGATGATTGCCAGGTGGCTGTGGTGTCTGTTGCCTCGAGTCATTTTCAATATTGGCATCACCCCGATGACCCCCGTGGGACGGTAACAACATGTCATTGTTTTGATTTTGATGATAATCAGCAGCAGCAGCCGCTGCTGCATGATGATGTGGTAATCTATCGTGTAATTCACTAATCACTGAATCGGGACTAACTTTTGGCCAATAATGATGTGGATCTTGATGATGTGCTGCCATAGCGTGAATCGATGGCCTCAATCCAGTGCCTATTATCGGTGGTCTTTTGTCCGTTCTCTCGGCATGTTTTTGCATATGTTTAGCCAAATATGTTTCCTGGGTGTAACTTTTGCCGCAGTACTGGCATATATGGGTTTTCAAATGTTTAGACTCTTTGTGCTTTGGTATGTGTTCAAGTAAACTTGGCTCATCTGAGAAACACTTGTAACACGAATTGCACTTGTATGGTTTGTCAGTCTGATGGCAGCGTGAGTGACTCTGCAGGTTACTCAGTTGACTGAATGCCTTAGTACAACCAGGATGACGGCATTTGTATGGTTTATCACCAGTGTGTGTACGTATGTGCTGCTGTAGATGACTTAACTGGGTAAATTTACGTTGACATATTTCACAGCGGTATGGTTTTATACCAAGATGTATACGTGTGTGTTGTGATAGATACGATGAATTTGCAAATGCTTTCGAGCATTGCGTACACTTGTAGGGTTTTGCCTCCCTCATGTGTATTTGTGTGTGTAATTGGAGATCCGCTTTACTGCCGAATATCTGTAACATAAATTATAAAATTTCGGTTGAAATTGGGCTGGCTGGATCACCCTATGGTAATAGGTTTTTTATGAATGGCATTGTCGAAATTTCCACGACATGCTACATCAATCATGAAATTTCTCAAAAGTTGCAGAACACAATTGATAGAAAATTGATATGAACTTGAATCCCAAGTTCAGTTTTGAATCTTTCCCTTTCCTCAAATCCGTTCCTAGTCTTCTGAGATTTTCACACAGTATAATCGTAGAAATACTGTAGCATATTTACAGTTTGATTCCGAAAATATATCCTAATGCTCACGAGCCTGTATTGAGCGACCGGAAAAGCAAAATTATGATCATTTGCTCAGAAAACTGCAGTCTTCCAGCCATTTGCCAAATTTCCCTTAAGAACGGGCATCTGAAATTTATATATAGCATGACAGTATGACCATTGTCGAAATGTCGACGACACCTACACCAATCATGAAATGTCTCGAGTTGCAGAACCTTTTGGGATAGGCTAGAAAGACGGTTGAAAATTCCCAGAAAATTGTTATGAACTTGGATCTAAAGTTCAGTTTTGAATCTTTCCCTTTCCTCAAATTCGTTCCTAGTCTTCTGAGATTTTCGCACAGTATAATCGTAGAAATACTGTAGCATATTTACAGTTTGATTCCGAAAATATATCTTAATGCTCACGAGCCTGTATTGAGCGACCGGAAAAGCAAAATTATGATCATTTGCTCAGAAAACTGCAGTCTTCCAGCCATATGCCAAATTTCCCTTAAGAACGGGCATCTGAAATTTATATATAGCATGACAGTATGACCATTGTCGAATTGTCGACGACACCTACACCAATCATGAAATGTCTCGAGTTGCAGAACCTTTTGGGATAGGCTAGAAAGACGGTTGAAAATTCCCAGAAAATTGTTATGAACTTGGATCTAAAGTTCAGTTTTGAATCTTTCCCTTTCCTCAAATTCGTTCCTAGTCTTCTGAGATTTTCGCACAGTATAATCGTAGAAATACTGTAGCATATTTACAGTTTGATTCCGAAAATATATCTTAATGCTCACGAGCCTGTATTGAGCGACCGGAAAAGCAAAATTATGATCATTTGCTCAGAAAACTGCAGTCTTCCAGCCATTTGCCGAATTTCCCTTGAGAACGGGCATCTGAAATGTATATATAGCATGACAGTATGACCGTTGTCGAAATGTCGACGACACCTACACCAATCATGAAATGTCTCGAGTTGCAGAACCTTTTGGGATAGACTAGAAAGATTGACGGTTAAAAATTCCTAGAAAATTGTGATGAACTTGGATCTAAAGTTCAGTTTTGAATCTTTCCCTTTCCTCAAATCCGTTCCTAGAACTATTGTAGTATATTTGCAATTAAATTCCGAAAATATATCGTAATGCTCACGAATCTGTATTGAACAACCGGAAAAGCAACATTACGATCACTTGCTCAGAAAGCTGCCAAGTCTTCCTAGACACTTGTCGAATTTTCCTTAAAAACTGACATCTCAAATTATTCCACAGCACGATAGTATGACAGTACAACTCCACGTGGCATATCTCATCCATATATTCATGGCATATCGCAATAGTCATACGAATCAACAATTAAATTCCCCCGTTAAGATAACATATCAATGTTCATATAAAACACGTCCATTAATAACCGCAATGATCATCGAATTCATTCTGTTTCGATGGCGTTTTCTTTTCAATAACTGAATAAAAGGGCTGCTGGTTGATTTATAAGATCAAGCCGAGGCAAATCAAAACCAGCTAGACGTACATACATACACAGGCATGCGCAAAATACACAGACTGTCGTGGCTGACCTTGTCTATCATGCCTGTACAGCCTCAAGGCATATACCTGACTGACTGGACTCACGCTCTTGCCTCCTCAGTTCGCTACCGCATAGAGATCTCGCAACATTTTATAACATATGTCTCTCTCAATCATTCGCATTATTCGGAAAGAAATCACTAGTCTCACTCGTATTGTGGCCATTTGGATTGGATATGGATGGAGAGAGAATGAGGCAAAACTATCATAAACCACGGATACAAGTAATTTATCTCAGTCACGAGATATATCTCAAATTCTCGGATGTTAACAGTGAGATGATGACTTCACAGGTTAAACATTAGGCGCGTTTACGTACAAGTTCACAAGCTCAAGACCTATAATTATTTTAAGGTTAAGCTCTTTCTGAGGAGCTGTAATATACATTCGATATTACGTAATTCTTCATGGTTAAACAGCTGACTCGTTGGGTCTGTCCTTTAACGACTCAAGCCACATTAAATATTATATATATTTTTTTTTCAAAAGTATTTCCTCCTTTCAAAACGCGTCCTTGTCCGTGTCAAGTTCGCTTGTTCCGCGGTGCCGGCCCACACGTAATTCCCCGTCTCTTTCCTTTTTCTTTCATGTGGATAAATATATTCAGGTTTTTTTTTAAGTCATTGGGAGAAGAATGGAGAGGTCCAGGCAAAGTTCTCTCGCCCGTCGAGACCTAGCTCAACAGTGGATTATACATTGTTTCGGAAGAGATGTGGATGACCTTCGCTCGTACTAATTTATTTAATCGAGGTAATTGGATTTAATGAGTTAATACATCCATCGCATCGGATTTTAAATCGTGAGAGAATTATTTTCGAATTATTCACGACCTTAATGACGTTTTTACTTAAAACACGAGATGATTTGTACGGTTGGAACATCTTTTGGTGAGAGTCATGGTCAATTTGGGATTATAATACCTCGGACTTTTAGAGGGGGCATAACTCGAGGATGTGTTTTCAACCCAGACGATGATGGCATTAATGAGCCACCGGCTAGACTTCCAAACTGACTCAAGAGTCAGGGGAAAAAAAAACATTCGTATACAAAAAGATTGAGGATGAAAAATATCGACGAGAGAAAAAAAAATGAACGACTGAACTCTTCCTGTCTGAACGGTTAATTTTCGGGTAATTATGGGAGAGTCCCAGATGTTTTTGACTCTCAAAAAATGACAGAATATTTTCTTGATTTTTTCCTTCATCCATTCGATAGATTCCCGGATCTTTTCCGTGGATTGAAAAATACGTCAAAGTGGATTAGACTCTCCCCCGGGTTTTTTTTTTATATTTCCGGTTGAATGGAGAGACTACACTTCGGGCCGATAAATTGGCGGATCAATCTCCAATGTTATTTTCACTCGCTAAGAGTACCAAATGTCTAAGAATCACAGATTAGTAGAATACGAAAATCCGAGAAGAAAGAGGAATATAAATCTGGGCTCTTTGAGAATTTTTCTGAAAAAGGGGCCACTTATGTACCTCATCTCCCACTTCTATCGCCCCTTGGTGAATTCGCCCCACTGCATCACGTTGTATACCCATATGCCAAAATGCTATACATCACATCCGTCATCGGTCTTGTTTGGTGGATGGGAGAATGAGATGGCAGAGGATGAGAGGGATGTTATAATGGTGAATTGAAGATGAACCATTTCCATAATTTTCAAACCAGTCTGACCGTCCTCTAGGTGATCACGGATAAATGATTCAGAGGCCCATTTTATTCATCGCCTTCCGGCGATTTTAGAGAGGTACTTACGACGGTAATTTGATGTGAAACTGTTGGATTTACGGATATATTTGGTAGAGTACTTTTCCAGGGATTTTTTCTTGGGAATATGACTGATTTAGCATGATATATCGAAATATATCGAATCGACGTGTGCGATATATTGCGATATTCGCGTACCGATATTTATCTAATGGAAATTCAAGAATATCCTAGAATATATCGCAAATTTTCGGTATCGATAATGATTTTTTTGGGAGTATGACTGATTTAGCATAATATATCGAAATCTATCGAATGGACGGCTGCGATATGTTGCGATATTCGCGTGCTGATTTATTTCAAATGGAAATTTAAGAGCATCTCAGACAATATATCGCAAGTTTTCTGTATCGATAATGGTTCAGAGCCCATTTCATTCATCACCAGTCGCTGCTTTCAAAGAGATCCTTATGGAGGTAATTTGATGTGAAACTGTCGGATTTATCGATTTATTCGGTGCAGTACTTTTTCAAGGATTTTTTTTAGTGAATATGATGGATTCAATATAATATATCGAAAATTATCAAATCGATATATGCAATATGTTACGACATTCACGTTCCAATGTTTCCAAAGCAGGAATTCAGATGTATTTCGAATAATATATCGCAAGGTTTCTGTATCGATAATGAATCAGAACACATTTCATTCATCACCTGCCGGTGACTTTAGAGAGGTACTTGTGAAGGTAATTTGACGTGAAACTACTGGATTTATGGATATATTTGAGGCAGTACTTTTTCAATGAGTTTTTCTTGTAAATATGACGGATTTATTATCATGTATCGAAAATTATTGAATCGATACGTGCAATATATTGCGATATTCCCGTACCGATGCGTGTCAAATGGAAATTGAAGAGTATCCCGGACAAGATATCGCAAGCTTTCTGTATCGGTAATGATTCAGAGCCCATTTTATTTATCACCTGCCGGCAATTTTAAAGAGATGCTTATGAAAGTAATTTGACCTGAAAATGCTGGATTTCCGCATATATTTGGTACTTATTCAGAAAGTTTTTTCATAATGTACGGAAATTATTATGAAATATCAAAAATTATGGAATCGATACGTGCGATATATTGCGATAGTCACGTTCCAATGTTTTCCAAATTGTACTGCAGGTGTCTCCCACACAATATATCGAAATATATCGCAAGATTTCTCAACAATATGTGCGATATATTGCGATATTAATTTTGCACCACTTGCGCTATTCAATTTCAGATGCAGTCCACACGATATATCGCAAACTATCGCATATATCGCAATCGATAGTTCTCCCTATCGCTTAGTTCTCCAAAAAGTTTCACGAACTCAGATCTTAACACTGTTTTGCCAACCACTCAGACCTATTGATTGAAAAACGAACGTT